ACAGTGTATTCATTAATTTTCATTTTCATGTAGTAAAGGCTCTATGCCTTCATAAAGGACGTACTTTTCCTTTGTTTAAGGGTATTTGGGCAGTTTATTCTCTGTTGTATTCTCAAGCAAACAATACATACAAGTACAGTACAGTATTTTCTGAGGAAACACTCATACTTATTTTTTTTTAACCCCATTCCCGATAACCTGGCATTTTCACAAACTCGGCCACCCTTCGGTCCACATTAGGCCGAGTTTTTGAGACTACTGTATTTTGTTTTTCTAGCTTGTCATGCCAAACTATGACAGAAGTTAAACTAGGAGAACAAGATTTGTTCTCCTAGTTTAACTTCTGTCATAATTGGAAAAATTAATGTTCAAATTTTCAAAATATTTTTTTATATGCCAACTTCTTTCAATTTTCAATTATGAACACTTTTATATTGAAAAAAGTAATTTATTAAATTATTAGTATACCAATATTTACATTATTCATCAAAACATTATAACAAATATGTCATTTTATTTTGATTATCGATTTCTAAATTAGAAATCTAGGATACAGAATCCTCTACTCTCTGTATTTCTAATTGAGACTGAGCAATGTCATGAAGAGCCTGCTGAATTTGATCTAATAATACATCTCCTCTCCTTACAACTTCTTCTAATCGTCTTGCTGCATCTTGATTTTCTTGTTCTAATCGACGAAGACTGGCAGCCTAAATAAAAGATTTTTTTAAATAATAATTTATAGTTTCATTGAAAATATTGGAAAATATATCAATAAATACAGCATTTTCATTAAATATAACTGTTTCTCAAAAAGTATTTACTGTATACCTTTGTCAATTGTTTTCTGTTATAATTCATTATTATAATAAAATTTTATTTACATTTAACTAGTCTAAATACTTGGTATTGCATGAAAAATTGTAATGAAGATGTTATAACCGAGATAATGGCTATTTACTATTATCTAGCCACAATAATAGTAATGCATTTAGATATATCTGGTTGTACAATGATCCAACAAGATTTTCTGTGTAACACTATATGAATGGGTTCCCATAGAATACCGTATAACATACCCAAAACCTAAATTTCAGCCAAACTTAAGACTAAATTACTGGATTTATGCAATTATTGACTCAGCAAAGGAATTCACATCCTATTCAGGGTCAATCTTTCAGAATTTTCCAAAGTATTTAATTAAATTCAAAATTAATTTCAATTATTAATCTTTACACAAGAATGTGGCTTAACTGCCTCTCATAGAACAAAATCAAATATTTACTTAAATTAAAAATGAACTTTATTAAAGCATGAAAAATAATCTGATAATTAAGACTTAAATTTGGCTTATCATTTTTTGCATTTTTACTACGGAGGCAGTAGCCTACAAAGGAAGGTCATCTCCGTGAGTTTTTGTGATTTTTATGAATTGCTGATGGTGCGAACAATGGAAGGAAATGACTGAAGCAAAGATTTTTTTCTTTGTTGAAAGTTGTAATTATATTTATTGTATTATTATTAAATAACCGTTGGCCATGTTAAACTTATTATTAGTTTTACTTATGTTTATTTTAAAAAATCCATTCCATATTCAAAAGCCATTATTCATATATTACTTGTAGAAACTAATAAATTAAATTTATATAATTACCTGTAATTCTGGTGAGGAATCTTCACTAGGCAAAGAATCAATCAAAACATCTATATCTTTAGCTGTTCTTGCAATTAATGTAGCAAATAGATGAGCATAATCTAAATATATACATAAATATATTTAATTTAATATAAATGTATACTATTATACAATTTAATAAATAAAATATGCTATATTTGGAATCATACATAAACTGTTAATGAAAAGAATTAAAGAAAACATCATAGGTATTATGGGCTACAAATATATTCTTGAACCTAATATTGCATTTAGAAGGAAGAGTTGATTAGACCAAAGCAAGAACAACTTAGATACAGCTAATGGGCAGATTGGGCCAGACTTTCCAAAGTTTCTAAAAATTTTCAGATATTTCTACAAGATTCTTATTTTCCTACTGGTAGAGGAACTTTGGAACACTTTCTCCAGCAATAACTCTGCAAGGTCATTTAAGTTCTGCTTAACATACCATATTTGAGATAGTAGTGTGGTTTGGTTTCTGGTAACAGAATGTATAAGAATTGCCATAATCTGTGAAGGGTGGAAGAAATGACAGGCATTTATAGAAAGATATCATCCATAACTGGAACAGCAGATTAAATATCAAATGATTTAATACAACAGTGAAATACTGTTTCAGTCTGGAGCAATTACAAAAATCAACTCTAATCTGATAATTGACATTATACAGTTGTTAAGTGTCAGTGGTCAAAATTTTAATAATCATTATTATCCAATTACATCAAATAAACAGTAAACTAGCAAGTAGAATTATACATTTTTTATTAAATACAGTATTTACTAACATTTTTTTGTTATTTTATAATAGAATTTAAAAAAAAAACTGATGTATCACAAATGACAATAGCATTGACTAATAAATATATCTGAAAGTATTAAACAAATAAAAGCACATTGAAAGAATGATGCTTCTTAATGACTTTGGTCTACACAATGATTAGAAACTGGCTTTTAGACCAACTTCCTAGATCTGTGCAGTGGCAGGTTTAGACCACAGTTTTCTCCTTGATTTTGTTTTTTGGAAAATTAATAATTTGTTTCCTTTGTTGTTAAGACATTTGATTAAGAATATATATTGGGCTCATTTTTAGATATTAACATGATAGAGAATATGTCTTGACAACTACAAAAAGAAAGAATAATGCAAAAAATGATATTTTAGAATTAAATTTTGATTGAGAGTTTCAAATTCAATAGACATTTTTTAAATCTGAATTCATGTATATTTTGAATCAAATTAATAGTTGATCTTTTCCCCTCAAATACAAATATTTAACTAACAGTAATTATATATTATTTGATGATTTAAAAGGGAATTAACCCAAAGTTAGAACAACAATTTTTTTCTTCAAGAAAAACCTATAAAATAATAAAATCATGGTTTTTTTAAAATAAATTTAGAGCAAGCATAAACTAACTTATTATTTCTGTATGTGAAAAATATAAACAAAAACAAAATTAAAACAATATCTATTGTTTCCAGTTCAGATATCCTATTTTTGAAATGTTCTAATTAATAAAATTTCTGATTTGTGAATTATATTTAACTACAGTATACTATTTATTTTTTCGTTGATGGTCAGATGGTTTCAAATCATTTCATAATACACATTATGGTAAAACTCTTATACAGAATGTGCTAGACAATTCAATACTAACAGTTGAACAATTATATTCATTTGTAATTTAAGATATTAACAATAAATCAACTATAAATATATTTTTTACAAATACAGGTATCCCTCATACAACACAGTTTGAAAATTGGGGCTATCCTCTATACCAGCGGTCCCCAACCTTTTTATCTCCGCGGACCGGTCAACGTTTGATAATTTTACCGCAGCCCACTGACGGGGAACGTTGATTTTTTATATTTTAGATTGATTTAATTTAATAATTTAATTTAATTGTATTTAAACATGCCTTCAAAATAAAATACAGTTACACCAAAAAATGAATTAATGTGATTTAACATTTTAACTCACTAGAACGCTAAATCAATGAGAACCCTGAGCACGTTTCTTTGTAACGCGATAGTTCCATCTGGTGGTAGTAGGAGACAATAACACCCGAAGTGTGTTTCTTATGTCCAGTTTATTTCGTTGTTCCGAGAGAAATACACTATAGTAAATAAAATGGAAATAATTTAATGTTTCTTGGGCGGCCCAGTCCCATTTGATCCACGGTACCGGTCCGCGGCCCGGGGGTTGGGGACCACTGCTCTATACAACACAACTTCCAGTTTCACTCTAACACAGTTTTGGAAATCCTCCATACAAAATTTTTGATGGTTTCAAATCAATTAATTAAATTTTAACTTTTGAAAATAGGAAAAAGTCACATAGGGCTAAGAATGTAGAAGATACAGATGATACAGGATTAACTGAACTCCAGAATCCTGTAAAAATTCCAACAGCAACTATATAGGCCCAAAGCATTGTCATGGTGAAGCAGGATTCATCATAAACCAATTTTTGGGTGGCTGTTGGACACTTCAAAAACTTTTAGCAGACATTTTGATATATAAAAGTCAGCATTGATAGCTTTTTGATCTACCAATTCAATCATTGTATCAAAACTTTTCCTGATAAATCTAGCAACATTTGCTTTCTAGAATTCCTAGAAACAATGCAATTTTTTGGAGGTGTTGATGATGAAGATCATCAAGCTGTACTTTGCCTGTTTTAGAATCAAAATTAACTTATACATTTAAGTTTCATCACCTGTTACTATGTCCCAATGAATTTTAAGTTCCTTTGCTTAATTTTTCAACATAAATTTGCACCATTTTGTGCTTCCTTCTGCTTGTCTGCCAACAAATCCATGTGGCAACAAGTTTTCTGCAGCCAAGGTGATCATGAATGATTGTGTTTATTGTATCTGATGAAAAGGACAATGTTTCCTCTATCTCTTCTTATGTAGTTTTCTCCATAGTTTTCTCTAATTAATAATATCACCTTTTTGACCACCTCTTCAGACAAATCACCATAGCTCACATCATCTTTGCCCCCCTTAAATTTACTGAACCAGCTATAAACTGTTTTATCTGAAAATACCTTATCTCCAAAAGCTTGTTTCAAGCATCCAATTAATTCTTGGAAGAAAACTTTATGTCAAAGTAAAAAATTCATAGTATGGAAATAGAGTTCCATGGCATCTACTGAGAAATGGTAGAAGTATCATCTTTACAAGAGCCATCAAGCAGGCATAATACTCCTAGCTGTATAAAACTTTTTATGTAGGGATAGAAAACATCACAGATTTATATGGTATCATTAACTTTCAACTATATTATTCAAACATATCCAACTGTAAAAATTTGAGTGACTTTCATATAATATCAGAAGTAGCTGAAACATTTATTTCCTGTAGTAAAAATGTTATAAATACTTTGCTGCATTAGAATTACGGTGGCAGATTTAAAGTGAAAGTTGTTAAATTGTATTTTAAGAAAGCAGCTTTGTTGCCAGATCATCTTCACCAGACAATACACTCATAGATACATACAATAATACTAACAAAACAAATATAGCTATTTAAAGCTAGAATCTTATAACTAGATTTTGATAGAGTTTAGAACTTAGTATTAATATTCACTAATTATATTTAAACCAGTACCATAATAATTATTATAATTCTATAATTAATTATAATAATAAATATAACTTATTTAATACCTTCTTGTTGTTGTTGCTGTTGCTGAGATTTTGGTGGTGACTTTTCAAATTCTGGAAAACTACTTGGTGCAGCAAATTGTTGAAGTACCCCAATACTATTACAAAAATTTTCTGCTTGCTAATAAATAAAAGAAAAAATTATTTACATACACATTATGGTAAAACTCTTATATACTAGGCAATTCAATACTAATAGTTGAAGAATTATATTCATTCATAATTTAAGATATTAATTAAGTACAAGTATCAGTCATACAACATAATACTTCTACAACACAGTTTGAAAATTGGGGATATCTCCTGTACAACATGACTTCCAGTTTTGCTCTAACACAGTTTTGGAAATAGTCCATACAAAATTTCACAATTTTTAAATGTAAACTCTGTTATTCAATATTTTTTTATTCAAGTAAGCATGCATGTTGTCTTAAATTTGCCCAGATTTTAGAATACTGAAATTTTCAATTTCTTTTGTGCCTTTCATCAGGTTTTACTTTAATGAAAACTGATACAGAAATTTTTCTTCCTTAGCTTTCTATGAATCAGGTATTATTGTTGTTGCTTTTGAACTTTAGTCCTTAAGACTGCCACTGTGTTTTGTTTTATAGATTAAACTTAGTATTTAGTAAAGTTTTATTTAAACATTTTTAGGTAAATATAATTAAACTTTTTTAAACCATAGGTAAGTAATCATTCATAAAAATGATGAAGGAAATATGGTGATATCTCTGTACTTGAACTGTTCCCAACTGGAACAATTTGGTATTCAAACACAAATTCTGGAAAAACAATTGCTTAGTAATTGACTGAACAAATAACCTGCTATAATAAATTATCAATTAATAAGATATTTTTATTTTGTCATCTATAGAAAATTATGATAAAAATGAAAAAAATGAAGACTTTGCTGATATTTCTAATCAACATCAACAAAAAAGCTATGATGATGATGATACTTTGAAAAAAGATAACTAAATTAATATTAAGAGTACTTTTAATTGTGTTTGTTAGTTAATTATTGATTGTAAAGTATTGATTTTTTTAATAAACATATTTCTTTTGGTAACAAAAAAGAATTGTATACTTTTGTTAACTTCAGGAATATAACCCTATGTTTTGCATTAGTCACAACACAGTCTCAGACAGAACAGGATATGACTGCAAACACTTGATCCAGAATTTTGTAACTAGCATTGTAGAGAAATCAGTTCTCGCATATAGCACATATAGCACTTTCATATAGCACAGATTTACATAATATGGACTTTTTCAGAATGTATCTACAGTGTTATATGATGGATACCTGTACAATGTAACTCCATTTACAAGTATATCTCATTCCTGAAAATCTTGTAAACAGGGATAAACTTTCTCATTTTTTTACAGTTGAAATTTATACCTTATTCTGGTATAACCTAGTCAACCTGCCTAACTCAAATAACATTAAAATACTACAAAACCTCTATATCATTGGTTCTCAACCTTCCTAATGCCTCCACCATTTAATACAGTTCCTCATGTGGTAACCCCCAACCATAAAATTATTTTCATTGCTACTTCATAACTGTAATTTTGCTACTGTTATGAATTGTAATGTAAATATCTGATATCAGGATGTATTTTCATTGTTACAAATTGAACATAATTAAAGCATAGTGATTAATCACAAAAACAATATGTAATTATATATTGTGAAATATTTATTTCTAACTACAAATAAATGAAATTTTGTCTTGAAGCATGGTGTAGTATGAGTAACAGTTTTAATATAACAACAGTAAACTATGTTGCTACATTTTGCAACAGTATGTGTAAAAGCCAACATCAGTGTGAAGATTAAGATTGCTCCTTTCTCACCAAATCAGAAATTCTCGGGACAGTCTGTGCAAGAGCACAATGCAGATCATCTTCCACAACAAGTCTACTTCTGATTTAGACTTGATAACCAATAAGCTGAAAAATCCTGTTTTACAAAGATATGTTGTTGGAAATAGAAGGCACAACACAGTCTCAGACAGAACAGGATATGACTGCAAACACTTGATCCAGAATTTTGTAACTAGCATTGTAGAGAAATCAGTTCTCGCTGCATCGCTGTTAATAAGTTCAATGAACTCCTCTTGTGCTGTCTCAGGAACATCTTCAACTTTGACTGTGAATGGGCTTCTGGCAAGTGTAAATGAGGTGTGAGGTAGATTTGGAAAGCACAATGAAATTTCGTCTGTAAGCATGTGCAAGTGTTCTTTCACAGAAATTATCATCATAATCCTTTTGTCTGGTTCAATGTCATGTTCCTCAAAGAAAGCAGATAAGTTAGGTAACATGTAAATTTTATTTTCATCCAATTTTTTTTGCCAAAGCTGAAGTTTCATTTGGAATGATCAGATCTTTTCAGACAGATCGAGACATGTTGCATTTGGTCCTTGCAGTGATAAATTTAACTCATTCAAGATGGTGAAGATGTCAACCAAGTAAGCTATTTTCTGTAGTTCACTTTTATCGCTGAAATGTGCTTCAAAATGCAGTCTTGCTTTCTGATTTAAAAACATTTTGAGTTTATTACGAAGCTCAAAAACACATTTTAAAACTTTTCCTCTTGACAACCATCTCACTTCAGTGTGAAATAGCAGAGCATTATTCGGTGCATCCAACTCATTGCACAATTGCGAAAACAGTCGACTGTTTAAAGTACTTGCCTTTACAAAATTGACAGAACTTGTGATGCTTTTCATTACTTCTTGTAACTCTTGTGGCAGCGTCTTTGTTGCTAATATTTGCTGATGAATCATATTTGCATGATAAATCAGTGAGTTACGATGAGTTTTGGTGACTCATTTAGTACCAAATTTGAAATCCAGATCGACATCCAAAGAACAGTGTCTCTGTTCCCAAGACCGTTAGAAATATGTGTTTTCCAATGGTCTTAGGTGACCCGTGAAAGGATCGTTTGACCCCCAAAGGGGTCACAACCCACAGGTTGAGAACCACTGCTATATATCAACGAATGATTTTAAATTAAGTAAAATGAATGAAAATGTTAATTAGATAACTCACTGATGTAAAAAGAACTATAAAATGAGATGAAATATGTTATTAGACATTTATTTATTTAATAGTAAAAAACAGTTAGTTAAGACAGCAAATAAACAGAAAACAAAACTGTAATCCCAATAAGATGCATTTGTAATGCAGAGATAAAATTTACTAAACTACACAACTGTATTATAATGAATGGTACTATAGTACATAGAAAATGAACACATAATGTAAATAAAATCAAGAAAATGAAGATCAGAACCTAAAGTCATCTAATCAGAGCATGTGGGAATTTCATTCTTATCATAATCATCGTTAGAATATTTTTTTCTTGTAAATATCAGTTAGTACTCATAGTAATGAATATTTTGCCTTGTAAATTGAAAAGAGGAATAAAAGAAAGCAGCTCATATTAAATTCTTACATAATGAGTCACACTATATACAATTTCTTTAAACAAAATAAAAATTTCAAAGAATTTTAAAATGCTAAGGATATTTATTTACTTGCCGAGATATAAATAAATATATTTTATTAATTATATATATATAATTAATTATATTTAATTTATATAATTAGTAAAATATATTTATTATAGCCTGATAATTCAGCATGAATCATTTGGTTTTAATTAAGGATGCACCGATAAGCAAAATGGCCGATTACCGATTAATCGGCCATGCATTATTGGCCGATTAGTGTTAATAATTTATTGCATTAATGGTGTGAGATCCTGGATAATTATACAGTTAATTATAATGTGGAAAAAACCCACTTTTCTCCACCTGGTACTTTTGTCTCCTTCGAGTCAGGTAGACAAGAGAGATATCGAATATCCTTGCAAAATCAACAATCTCTTCCTTTGTTTCTAAAATAAATCTCAACACTAAATTGTTGATGCATGGAAACTTCGACATTGTTTAAAAAGCTGAAGTGTTTCTATGTTTAACAGAAACAAAATATATTTCTTTAACCGCTGATATTTGGACGGCAACTACAAACAATTCACGTTTTTAAGTGTACCGGCCCACTGGTTGAAGGATGATTTTCAGCAGGAAAGAGCTGTTTTGCAAATTGTTCCCTTTGAAGATTCCCACACAGCTACACGAATCAGTGAACAGATAAAAATTGTGCTCGAATAGTATAAGTTGACAAGTGATAAGATATTGTTAGTACTGAGAGATTCTACAGCAAATTTGGTAGCTGGAATTAGGAATTGCAAATTAGAAGCATTATTGTGCTTTATACATACACTGCAGCTGACACTAAACGAATGCATATTTTCTGAACAAGACGTAAAAACTATAATCACAGTTAATAGAAATATTGTCACACATTTTAATCATTCTGCTGTAGCTGTAATCAAATTGGAAGATTTGCAAGAAAAAATTAGGTTTGCAGAAACACACATTAATTCAAGATGTTCCTACTCGCTGCAATTCTACATACTACATGCTGAAACAGCAAAAGGCCCTTGTCATATATGCTATAGATAATAAAATTCCTACGTTGAGCCCATATCAGTGGTCTCTCGTTGAAAAAAATTGTTCTACTTGTAAAACCATTCAAAGAAATTACTGTGGAAAGCCAGCAAACGAGAAGCCACTTCATCTTCAATAATTCCCACAATAGAGACTCTGAAATTATTCTTATCAAAAGCAAAGATCAGTAGTTCCTTTAGTGGCATTAATACCACAACAGAAGAACTAGAAAATCCAATAAAAAAA